ATTATTTTTTATTTCATATATTAAGGTTTTAGTTATGATACTCCCAAAATAATTCCGCAGAACTCCGCAAATTTTTACCAAAATTCTCAGCAGAAGTAGCAAAAAACGTCCGCAGATTCCGTCTGGCCGTGCACACAACCTAGGACAGATAACACAAGTACTTTTACATCAGACAGGGCATAATTATGCAGGATATTGTGCAATGGAAATATTTAAGATTGAAGAAAACAAGTTTGGCTGTTTCCATCCACATATTTTTATGCACATTTGGAAATATTGCATTAGAATGATTAATGGAAATGCCATACATTTTGAAAATGCACACAACTGAGTTGGATAAACTTTATATCCGATAAGAATAAATGCACTTTAACTTCAGACTCAATGAATAAACTCTGAGTATCAGTGCTGTAGTTTCTGCTGATCAGATGTGTGTGTGAGGGTCTTTCCATCATTAATGGTGGTCTGCAGATATACATGTGTGTGTGTGTGAGGGTCTTTACGTCATTAACGTTGGTCTGCAGATATAAATGTGTGTGTGTGTGTGTGTGTGAGAGAGAGTGTTTGCGTCATGAATGTTGGTCTGCAGCTCTCCATGTTTCCAGCTTTCCATTGGTGCAGATGTGGAATGTTGTTGTGCTGATTGTAAAAGGTCTCAGTCCTCCGTCAGTCCATCATCACAGTGCTTTAGCATTCTTCTTCCTCTATCATTATTTCCTCCAGAACTGTCTTGAGCATCTGTCTGTACTCCCATCTAACACCTCTTAAACCCATCACATTCACCGCGTTCATTGCATTTGGTCTTCGTCTTCTGAGGCGCAACTGTGCAACACCACAGTGGAGAATCCCAACAGTGCAGCAAACTCCACTTCTCTCAGCGACATCTGTGCAGGCTTATCAAGATGAGTTTGTTCTCCTTTGGTTTTCCAGTTTTGTGCATAAATCAAATTGGCATCTTTGGATGTAAACACAGCGATTGCTGAACTGGACTGCTGCGAGCTCAGTGAAGCTGGATTCTGGGCCAAGCCTTTAAATCCATGTTTCTGTAAGGAATAATCTTGCTGTGAATGGTGAGCTCTGTGGAGTCTGTCAGCTACATGTGTGATGTGAATAGAGTCTCCTCGCTCCGGCACATTCGTCTGATTGAACATGATCTGCTGGCTCGGAGATGTCTGACTCATTGTGTCGTAGGCCCGTGTCTCTATATCCGTCCCTCTCGCCTCATTTACTACGCTCGTTTTGGTTGGGTGTTAGCGTTAGCATCGGAGATGAACCCGCCATCCTCAAACTCTCCATCATGCCCGAGGTGTTCACATGAGACGATAGTCAAGCCTCCCCCAGTCACTGCATCTTTAATTAGATTGCAGTTCTCTTGCGTCTTCGTTTGCATGCTCATTTGCATAATTAACATAGAGGCGTCCTGTGGAACGGTAAACATTGGAGTCTGCACTGCAAAAAGTGCTTTTCTTAGAGTTTTTGTCTGGTTTCTAGTCCAAGAATCTAAATATACCCAGTTAAAATCATATTACTGGATGCAATTTATTTTAAAGAAAGAGAAACACTGCAAAAAAATCTATTTTTGTTTTGTTTCTAGTCTAAACTAGTGGAAATATCTAGAACTTTAAATTCAAGAAGCGTTTAGACAAGTTAAATATATATAGTGTTGTTTTTAGAAATAATATGTCAAAATTAAGTGCCTTTGTTTCTTAAAACAAGCAAAATAATATTGTGTTTGGTTTGAAATAAGATTATTTTGCTTGTTTTAAGGAAAATTCATTGAATTCTTATAACATTATTTTGCTTACCCCATTATTTGGCTTGTTTTAATCAAAACTCACTTAATTCTTTCCTTACTCAGAGTTTTTGCTTTAATTCTAATCCAAATGTCTAAATATCTTAAATTAAAAAGAATTTTCTATAAAATCAAACAAAATAGTCTCGTTTATTTGTCAATTTGTCAAAATGAAGTGAGTTTCTCTTTAAAACAAGTGAAATAATGCTGTTTGTGGTTTAAAGTAAGTTTATTTTGCTTGTTTTGAAGAAAAACTCACTTAATTTTGACTCATTATTTCTGAAAGCAAGACACTAGGTTGTATTCGTCTTGAAAATGCTTCTCAATTTATACATTTTTAGATATTTGGACTAGAAAGAAAACACAAACTCTATGATTAGAAAAGCATATTTTTAGTCCAGGCTTCAGGTCAATGATCAGCACGAGCCACAAGGGAAGCCAAAACATGACAATAAAAGCAGCTTGGGAGAAATTGCAGATAATATTGTGAGGTTTGTGGTGTTTTCACCGGAAGCACTGAGCGCCTGCTGAAGCGGTGCTGGTTTCCAGTTGAGCGGGTGTTGACACTGGGTTCATGTCTGACCGCAGGCTCCTCCTGATGGCCTTTCAGGAGTAATTGACACTCATATGTCTTGCTGAATGCAGTAAAACACAGCAGGAGGCGTTTAATGTAAAGCTACAGCTCTCAAAGCTCATTCACAGCAGTTTTACATCAGACTGAACCCACACATTCAGAACATTGACGGTTAGTTATAAAAACTAATGTTCTCTAAATATAGTCCAGCTTTTCTCGGTTAGTCAACATCTGAAGTGGGCAAAAAAAGATTGTCCATGTCAAAAGGAAAAGCAACATTATTCTGCTTCCCCCATTGGCTGATTATTTAGCTTGTTTTAGGGAAAAATCCTTGATTTTCACACATTATATCTGAAAACAAGACCATATTTTTACTTCTTTAAGAAGGTTTCCATGTTTGGACAAATAATGTAAGTAGTTTGTGTTCCAGTGCACTAGTTTTCCATAGTTTTTCTGTGTAAATGTGCTTAATGGATGCACATGAGCATTACACTTGCATCTTTTGAAAGTTTCTACTTTAATATTTTACTAAATGCTTCTTTAATTTAAGAATTGTTCGATGTCTGGACAAGAAACCAGAGAAAAACTCAAGGAAAAGTGTTTTTGTAGTAGCATCTTCATAAATAGATTGTAGTTGGCCATTAACACAGTTTTGGGTGGTTTTCACTCCCTTGCACTCCTTTTCCATTGTTTTTCTGTGCAATAGTGTTGTTACGCTCCTGTCTTTTTAAGATGCCGTGTTAAGTTAAACGAATCGTACCTTTTACATGCATTGCTGCTCATTAATGTCAGTTCCAAAGCAGTTGACCAATCAGAAGAACTCAGAGGTGGGGCAAGCACTGTGAGCCTGTGTAGTATTTTGGCATGACAACTTGAACATAGATCAGTGGCTGTTTCTCAGTACTAAGTACACAAAGTTCGGATTTGCATCCTTGGAGGTTCAGACTTGCCAAGTTCAAACTTAGAGGAGCGAACTCCCAAAGACGCAAGGAAACAAGACGGATACTACTTCAAATGGAACTGCAGTGTACTTTATAACATCACTTACCTCACCATGGATTAATTGGTTTCACTGTACATTATCAATCATCAACAATGATTTAATTATGTAAAGCACGGCCTTAATTAATATTAAATCGATATTATCAATCAATATTTTTGATTTAAGAAAATGTAAACATAAATCACTGTAAATGTGGAGTGAAATGTGTTATTATACACCTACTCGTGTTGATTATTAGATTTAACAAACTACAAAGAACATTACACAAGTATAAAGAACAAGAAGTAAACGATAGGAAATAAAGAGAACGTTTGGCAGTTTGGTAAACAAAGACAGACTTCATGCAACATGTTAACATGATCATAGACAATTATAAAAGGTAACAAAAAAACACTGCCAAAATAATACACCTGAGAACAAGTAATAGATTTAAATGACCAAAAACTGGCTGTTAGATATACAGAAGATTTATTAAATATCAGGTTTTAAATATAATAGGGAGTGATGAGATCCAGCGGTACATCCAAGATGGACTGGCTGAAGTAAAGCTGCTCTCGGCTGAGCAGGTGATGACAGAGTCCACATAAGCTGACATACATCGCCAAAGATGAGTTATCTTTATAAATAAACTGCCCATTTGAGTTTAAAACAACGATATTATCTCCTGAAAAACTCTTTAAACTTTATTTTGTGACACAACAGAGGAGTATTTGTACACAGAGCAGTACACAGAGTTCCAGCATGACCATCACCAAACACACTAAATGTGGGACCATTATTTGGTTTGTGTTTGACAATGTGGGACATTAACTCTAAAACTGACTTAAGACATGTATTCTGCCTGTCGGATCATAGATATGTTCTGTGTATCCTTACAGAAAACACCATTACAACACATTGTTACAGTATATGATGTTTTATTTTACATCTAATTTACATTCAGGGAATCACCTGCTCCACATTTTAGACCTCCATCTGTCAGACAGCTGAAACAAACCACAGCATAGCAGAATGATGAGCTCTCCTTTATTAATTCATATATTTCTGAGTGAATATTGTCCTCCGTGTTTTCGTGTGTGTGTGTGTGTTTGATGGATGGAGATCTATAGGAGCCATTTCATATTTCGAGTGTGATGTTGCACACATACCCATAATTCCCCAAGACCACGCTCTTTGTACGCCTGTGTGTGTGTGTTTTATTTACGCGCGCATCAATCCAGCGGCCTGACGAGTGCAGGAGCTCCTCATGAATATCTGCTGTGTTCAGACGACTGATGTAAGAGTGATTCAGGGCCTGCGTTCTGCTGTTTAATGCTGCTGTGCTTGGTGATTTGTGAAGCAGGTGTGTGTGTGTGTGTGTGGTGTTTTCTGTCCGTCCTGTGTCTCTGGCGTGTGTGTGTGTGTTTCTGTGCAGTGTGTCCTTGGGCTCTGTTTCTGCAGTGTTTGCTGATGTAAGTCCGTATGGAGTCGGTCTCTGTGTGAGGATCCTTGGAGAGCTTTCATCATCCTCCCCGGTGTGTGTGTGTGTGTTTATAGTGTCTCTCCCTCTCTCTCTCTCTCACACACACACACACACACACACACACACACACACACACAGGCGCAGTGATTGAATGCTTTGATCGGATGCGTGTCTGCCTCTGTTAGTCTCTGCTGCACTGGGAATATCATGTGAGATGGGAAACATCACACTGAGGTTTACAGGTGATTCACTGATTCAGATGTGTGTGTGTGTGTGTGATTCACTGAAAGCATCACATTCTGTATGATTTAACACACTGCTTTTGTTTGTGGATTTTGTTTTACCACTTTTTAGTAGTAATTTGATTAGGTTTTGTTTTTGAACAACTCAACTGAGCCAAGCTTGTTTCTAAATGAATCAATCATTGAATGAATCATTTGAATGATTAATTCAGTGAATCACTCAGACTTGCGCCCCCTACAGGTGGCTTCAGTGTCATTGTTTTTAAGCAGACATGACCAGCACTAAAACACACTCTGCCCTAATATTACAGCTGCACTAAATGAAGTCCACCAGACACGCCCATAACCAAACAGCCCACGCCCCTTTTTGAAATGCATATGCAATTTTTACTAGACACGCCCCTTTACTGCTGATTGGCTGCTGGTGTGTTTTGGGACTTTGAAATGTCTCTCAGGGCAGCTCTGTTCAGATATCTGAGGAAGTGTGTGGAGATGATGTGCTGCTCGTGTGTCAGTGTGAGGGTCAGTGTGTTCTTCTTGAAGATTGATCTGCTGCTGTGATGATGCTCTGCAGACACTGGCATTGCTCCATATTAATGAGCAGCTCCTCTGATCAGGCTGCAGGTTCAACATCACCATTGATTCTCATTGATGGAGTGTGTGTGTGTGTGTGTGTGTGTGTGTGTGTGTGTGTGTGTGTGTGTGTGTGTGTGTGTGTTAGACTCACCTGAGTGTGTTTTTTTCAGTGTGAAGCTGCGCTTCTGTTCCTGTTCGTTTGCCTTGATTAATGGACAGAAGTGATCAATGCCGTCTGGGAGAGAGTGTGTTTATGAGCCGCTCATTTAATCTCCATTCACACACACACACACACACACAGATCTGATTAACAGGACGGCAGTTTCTCCTGACAGATGAAACTCTCTGCTGTAATGGGGTTTGAGATGATTCTGTTCAGAGATATGAAGGCATTCATCAGGAGTGTTTCAGGTGTTAGCACTGATCTGACAGCAGTCATATTCTTAAAAGAGCCTCTGTTTCTCTGACCAAAGCTACTGTTATTCATCAGACACAACGCTGAGAAACAGTCCTGTTCAGAGCAGCTGATTCTGTGTGAATGTGTGCAGTCATCTGTAAGTGCACAGGTTTGCCAATGTTCTGCAAATGTTTTGGGAAATGGCAAATTGACCAACTATGATTGTAACCTATGTTTGCACCTTAGTTGGCCAACGATGGTTTTGGGAAACGCACCCCAGGTTGTGAATGATATTTTTCCACACTATAGGCTAGCCTAGGCCAAACAGCAGGTAATCATTTTGCTTTTGACCTAGATATCCAGTCAAAGCCCCATGCATCTTGGCATTATAAATATTTTATTAGCTAAATATTAATATTATTATTATTATACATTAGTAGACATAATGCACTTTTTTTAAACTAGCAGATTTTTATTTTCTCTGCATGCATGTGAAAAAGAAATGAACAGAGAAAATGAATATAATAATATATAATGATAATAATAATAATAACTAATATGCGGCTCGCTTTGCGTGCGGATCTGCCCATTTATTTAATAACTGCCAGTAGTTCTGAGTGCATGAGAGTGTTTTACATGAAGAGGCAGTCAAATATTTGTAACATAGCCTGTATTAAATAATAAATAGCCTACTGATAAAGTAAGTTATATAACCGGTATGATAATCTGAATATTATTTTGTAGTGTTTGCTGTGCTGTGGTTTTCATATGCGCACATGTTTAAGATTTGAGGTAATAACATCGCCATGATGGTCGAAGAAATAGAAACATTCTTTTCACCCCAACCCCGGCTCTGTGACGTCATCGACTTTCCCTTTCAGATTTAAAGGGCCAGCATTGCACCAGACCCCTGTAAGTGGTTTCGTTTGAAAGTAAAGAATCTATACTTTATGCACATATGCATCACTTGGTTTTTATTCTGCTGTGCAAAAGTTATTTACACTTAAATACACAGTATTTTGGATACCCGAGCTGGGTATTTTACATGTGTCAAATATGAAAATGAACCAATGTAAAAGTTATAGCTCAAATGAAAGCTCTTGCCGGTGCAACACACACATTCACTGGCCTGGTTACCCATAGCAACGGCTCCTCAGGTGTCCTTGAGGTGGTCTGGTGGTGTTTCTTAAAGGGCACTCAGTAGACACCTATGCTGCACTAGTTCTATCAGCACACCGGTCAATCATCTGTCTGAAGCTCCGCCCCCCACACACTCACACTCATCTTTCTTATGAGGCTTTAGATGGACAAATCAACACGGCTATTATGGTTTTGCCCTTTTCACCAATATTAGTTTTTATTTGTGATACTATTTTAAAGTATGTTCTTCATTTCGGTTTAGTTTAGTTGGTTTCATCAAGGTTTATTTAGTTGTGAACACATTTCCATTTAGTGTTAGTATTTATAGCTTATCAGTGAATAGAACACGTCCAGAGTAGTTTAGTGTTCATCAGCTAACTTTCACTCATCCAAAACTCTAGTAATAAACTTAAAATAGTAGTTTGAGCAATCATGAACTCCAAAACCACAACAAAACAACTTAATGAGTCAAGCATTCAGAAAGTCTACATATTAAAGATCTGTACGCAGTCAAACACTTTTCTTTTTGAAGAAGTTCATACAGTGAAGCTGTTTGTGTGTATAATCTGCTCTTAGCTGCTGTGTTTGGCGCCATCTACTGTTAGTTCTCTAAACAGCAGCAGCTCTGATTTTACACCACAGAATCAGTGCTTAATCATCCTGAAAGTAATTATTTTTGCTAATAATCATTTTTATTCAGTTCGATAGTTTCAGCAGTGAGCGACGCGGTGGCTCAGTGGTTAGCACTGTGGCCTCACATGAAGAATGTCGCTGGGTCAGTTGGTGCCGAAGGAAAATGAATAAATAATTCTCTGAGTCTGATTTGAGAGGCTACTGCTGTCCTAAAGAGGCGCAGTTTCACATGACTGAAACAGAATACAACTGACCCAGCCTGGACTCGAACCAGCGACCTTCTTGCTGTTAGGCCACAGTGCTAACCACTGAGCCAAATACAGTATAGTTGCACACTTCATTCACATCGCCTGGTGAAAATTCACAAGTGTTTACACTTTTACAGTGACTTGTTATGCAGTCTGTTCATGTGAAGACTCAACTTCGCTTTTGATGGCTTTGTTTGAGTCGCAACCTGTGTGTGCTTCAGTCTGAGGAGGAGCCGGGAGAAAAAACCCTCTTCAATCTTTTGAATTTGTACTGCAATACCCTGTTCAGCTACTCGGTGCCCATTTAACATACTGCACCTTTAAACTAATCTGATTATTATAGTTATTGCTGTTCATGACCTTCTCAGATGGTTAACCAGAGTTTACTGTGGGTTAAGGATGATAAAGATGATGCATTCTGGGAGATTATTGATGAGACTCATCCATTATACTGTATAAACACTCTTAATAGTCATGATAGTTTGTTTGTTTAAGCTGTAAATCTTGTGGTTTTTTTCTGGAGGATCATAAACACTGAAGACTGCAGTCAATATGAATTTACTACATATTGACATGAAGAACAGCTGTTTAGAGTTTTAGTATTAATAAATTATAAACAACGCACTTATGAGTGAGCAGAGGAAGTGTGTGTGTGTGTGTGTGTGTGTGTGTGTGCGTGCGTGTGCGCGCTGCTCTCTGACCTGTGTTATACTGACTAACTCCAGTTCCTCAGAGTAATGACAGCGCTTCAGTTCAATTCAGTTCTGCTGGATCAGTATTTGCTGTTTCCGGGGCTTCTTAATTACTGCGACCCAATCAGAGATGATATAGAGTCATTATCCTGCCGGCAGAGCAGCGCAGAATCCGAGCAGCAATTTAGAAATGATTAAGTAACTGAAATAATGATTTTCTCTGTGTGAGTGTGTGTATTCCTTGTATTCCTTACATTATGAGGACAGAATGTCCCCACCAATATAGCAATACCAGTGCATTTGTGTGTGTGCGTGTGTATGTACTCCACCACAGCTCTGCACGTCAGCGGCCTTGTGTGGCCTGTGGGAATTAATTAAAGTCTGAGCTGAGAACTGCAGCATCTCTGAGATCTCACACACACACACACACACTCATACACACATACAGTCGCCTACACACGCACGCAAACACACACACAGCAGGATGAGAAGAGAAGTATGCTGTAAGGTGATCAGGAACAGCAGTCGCAGGAGTAGTGTCATATCACACATGAATGGATGGATGGGATGGATGGATGGATGGATGGATGGCGATGAGTGGATAGGTGCATAAATGGATAGAGAGATGGTTTTGATGATTGGAAGAAAGGATAGAAAGAAGAATGGATGGATGGATAGAGAGATGGTTTTATGGATTGAGATAGATAGATAGATAGATAGATAGATAGATAGATAGATAGATAGATAGATAGATAGATAGATAGATAGATAGATAGATAGATAGATAGATAGATAGACGGATGGACAGATAGTGTTGTGTGTGTAGAGTATCACAGTGCTGTGTAAATAGATTCCCTCACTGAAGTCTCATCCTCTGGCTGCTGGGGTGCCTCAGGGCTGGGTTCTAGGACCGCTTCTCTTCTGCTCTACACAGCATCACTCAGATCAGTCATTCAGAAACACGCCTCATCCTCCCGCTACTGTGCTCATCTTTGATTCGAGGATTTCTGCTAGAGTATCAGCAGATGTTTAGTAACCCAGAGACGCTCCTGATCCTACAACCATTCACCCTTAAAAACACAGGAAATGGGCTTTCATGAGGAGGAAATGGGGGGGGGGGGTGTTGGTGGAGAGACAGTGATAGAGCCAATTGGGGATGATTGGGATGCTATGATGAATATGGGTGACAGTGTTCAGCACTGACCCTCTCGCTGATCCAGTCTCCTCCTGATCTGTGAGCTCCTCATGTTCAGCACTGACCCTCTCGCTGAT